ACACAGATGAAACATGTTTCCCCTGAGCAATAACATTCTTACTTTGCTGTCCACAGTGAATGTCAAGAGACAAGAAGACAAAAAAAAAAAAAAAAAAAAACACACACACACACACAAAAAAAAATAAATAAATAAACCGAGCACTTATAGGATACCAAAGAAAGCAATAAGGGGTAAAGGATAAAAAGACCATACTTGAAACAAAAAAGAGACCAAACTATAGATAACATCAAAAAGGGAACAACACAGTCAATGTTTAGAGTGTGTACCAAAGTGCATATGTGCAACAGGTAACAGTSTGAAATGTGAACATGTGCARTATTAATAGTCAGAATGTCATATCATGTCTATTGTCAGAATTAAAGTCAGAATTCCAAATTTTTTCTTCAGAATTCTTTTGACTTTTCTCAGAATTCTGACTTTAAGAATTCTAGAAGAGAGTCAGAACTAAAAAAACAAAACAAAAAAAAAACTGTTTTCTCAATGGTCCTGACCCTTTTATGGAAGTTTCTGAGAAAAAAAAAAGCATAATTTCTCTGAGAAAAAAGACAGAACTCAGAAAAAGTATTTACTTATTTAGCTCTGCGGCCTCTTCCGTCTGTTACCAACACAGAATTGCTCTTGATGATAAAATTCACATTTTCCAAATGAGAATCAAGCTCTGTCTTATTTTCTCAATATTTGGTTTTGTGTCATTAGGGCGTCTGTAGAGCTGCTGGCCAATAAACATCTTTTATTTACCTTCAGTCCTGACTTCCTGTAATTCTGCAGCTTGGATGACTCTGGAGCTGCGAGGGGAGTCATGAGACAGGCTCTGGTCCTGCTGTAGCCCACACGATTGTCTGGTTTTTATGTGYGCAGAATTACGGAACCCTGAGGGAAACACAAACGTATTACCTGATATGAGCGGGCGGTCCAGAACAAATTAGATGTGAACTTACCAGCTTTACGACTGGGCATGGAGGAGAGCACTTTCACTGTGGCAGCGGACCAGTTAGCTCTCCGCAAAGAGCTGCTCTGCCTTCCTCTGGGTATTTCTTCAACTGTTTGRCTGCTGTCTGTTGACTCACTGTCTACAAAGAACATAGTTTGAAATTTTGATCAGGTTACAGATGTGTCARTTACATCAGACACTTTTGTTGCAAACATACCTGAGTGTTCCCTAAGCASGTCAAGCTCTACGGCTTCAGGACACGTCTGGACAATAACTTTGGGCTCTGAGAAGGGTCTGAAAGACCCCTCAGTGAACCAATCGTCCCCCAGGTTCCTGCAAGAGAAGTGAAAGGAAGGACTATCATTCATTGCAGCARTGAGGATATAACAATAATCTTACTTTTTTGTGGTTAATATCTCAGGAAGGGCCTTGATTTTTAGCAACAATTGACTCAAACCCTCAAAGACTCTCACCTGATCTACACCACAGGATTAGAACATAGACCAGATTGTTCAAAGAATGTCAAGACAGCCACAATTTAAAGATAAACGTTTCAAATGTTGGCATGATTCATTATATGGGGCTGCTTAAAATACAATTAAATGTCCAGTACTCCTTTGTTGCTCACTGACTGCACCATGCCGAAATAATAGAGTTCAATAAACCCAAGACTAATCAGTTGTAAATGAACTCATTCAGTTTTGTCCAGTGGTTTGTGAAGTAGTTTGCAGACACAAACAGGTAAACCATTGTTTTTCCTGAAGATAACAAATAGGAAAAAAAGAAAAGTTACTCATAGTCAGAATCCGTGTCACCGACGTTGATGCTGAAGCTCCCTCTGCGTGCCATGGCTCCCTCTGGTCAGTCCTCGTCTGCCACTCGGTGCTTCTCTGCAGACAAACTGTCAACGATACCTTCCCACAGCGCAAAGCAACAGCTAAATAAAAACTATATGAAACTCCTTCACTTCATGTGAAATCCCCTTCGTTGTTTTTAATCGCAGAGCAGCTTCTTGCTGTGCACCAGCAAACTACTCGTTATGAAGGCACTGACAAAGCGACAAATGAGAACTGATGAAAAGCAAAGGGAAGGGCAAAATATCTCACATTAATATACCTCCAGACATCATACTTCCCCTTTCTTCTCACAGTTGTGGCTTATTTGCAACAAGCATTTGAAATTAGTTGGTGTGAGGTTGTGTTGGAGAAACAATTAGACTAAGATTTTTAAACATTGCAATATTTTCATCCAGAATAAAGTGTAAAATGTCAGTGAATAAGATCATATAAGAGTGGAGTCTGTCTTGTAGATGTTTATTCTGTTAGTTACTTTTTTTCTCTGTGTTGGATGGATCACAAAGTGTGGAGAGCAACTGACAATCTAAAGTAGCTTATAAAGAACTATCTGATTAAAAAATAATAAAATAAAAAAATTAAGCACTGTTAAAATCCAGATCAAGCAGTCTACATTTTATTTCTTGGGTCACAAAACACTTGCTGATACTTCAAAACAACTCAACCTACTCATGAGCTTTTGACGCCCTGTTGTGGCCATAGTTTAAAACTACAAATTAAACTTTAGGTTTTGGCATTTTGTTGTGAATATATATATATATATATATAAAACAAAAAAGGCATAATATTATGAGAAAAAGTCATAATCTTACATGACATGTCTATTTTCCGTTCCTGCTATTTTACTCATTCCCTCATCATTCATCCAAATTAGCCTAAGTGATGACAAAATCTGTCAGTGCAGCAAACACTTACAATTTCAAAGTCCTGCTACTAATAATGATGCTAACAATGTGTAACATATTAAGTAATTTTTAACTGAGATAAGAACAACTTCAGAAAATGTTCCTCGTTTTAAAGCAGTGACTTTTTCGTGTAAAGGTTATAGTATGACTTTATTCTAATTTTACTTTATTTTCAGAACATTATGACTTTAATCTCGTAATATTATGACTTTATTCTCATATTATGACTTTAATCTCGTAATATTATGACTTTATTCTCATTATGACTTTTTTCTTGTAATAAATATGACTTTAATCTACTTTTTTCTTGCAATATTACAACTTTATTTTCATGCAACTTAATTCTCGAGATGACTTTAATTTTGTACTATTATGACTTTATTCTCATAAAAAATAACAAAACATCTCATTGCGTGATCCTAATACTGTATAGATCAGAATTCAGTTACAAATATGGTTATTTGGTAATCATGTTGTCTTTAAATAAAAAGCCATTTTATACTTTAGCACTTGAAAACACATAATTGTAAAATGCTTAAAGCATTATTTAATTGACAGTCAACTATTCTGAGCTTAATTTAGTTGTGTTAAGCATTGAAAACTTTTGATTCTATCCCTTTTTTTTTTCTTTGGGAGGCTTCAGTTAAAATGCTTTTAAATGTTGGAATATGATGATATAGGATGAAAATATGGAAGCCCATTTCCGCCACCCTGATAAAAAAATAAATAAAACTTGTATCTCTTAATTTAATAATTTAAATAATTTAATAATTATTTAATAATCTCATAATTATGAGATAGCTAAGTCATAATTATGAGATAGTATCTCATAATAATGAGATAGCTAAGTCATAATTATGAGATAGTATCTCATAATTATGAGATAGCTAAGTCATAATTATGAGATACAAGTTTTATTTATTTTTTTATCAGGGTGGCGGAAATGGGCTTCCATATAAAATAATATGTCAATTTTTAAGATAAAATATTTTATTAAAGATTATATATCGTCACATGACTGAAACCCATAAAAAGTACATATAGATCAGAACTGTTTTGGATTCAGAGGATWAGCAGATTAGCAGATGGATATTCCTTTAAGGAAAAATAAATTGTTTGTTGTTTTTAACAATATTTTCTATGTTTTGTTACTTGTTGGTTACGCTCTTTCAAATAAATCGTAGACACATTGTGTACTTGCCATAGGCATCATACTGGAAAAAGGCCTTTTAGGATTATCTATGGTCGTTGGCCTCTGACCTGAAGCGCCTGCGTATCGTTGCAATTTCCGAGGATCACGCGAATGCATCACAAAAGGGGGCGGTCCTGAAAAGTTCTCAGGAAGTAGTTCAAAGAAAATCCCGAATTTCCCCAACTTTGACAGAAAGAGTTGTCGGGTTGTCTTTCAACCGTGTGACAAATAATTTGGGTGCGAAAAATATATATACAAAAAAATAAAAATGCAGAGCGGTGCCTATGGGTCCTCTTTGGCCGGTGGTGCCTTCGACTGTGGGAGTTTTGTGAGACAGCCTCAGACTATCTTGCGCTTCCTGAGCTGGGTGAGTTGACTCCAACGTTAGCAACAATGTTAGCCACACGTAGCTGTCATCACTTTTACTACCAGATGTTAGCGTCTGGAGTCAACACGCGCCTGTTTATTGAATAAATCGTTACAGTTTTATGTTGTAGAGTTTGTATATTAAGTGTCTATCTAATTTATACAACTTCACACAAAATGTGAGTGCAGTAATTATTTAGCGGTTGTTAGAAACTACTAGCTGTTGGTGGCTAGATGATCCCTGTTGTGTCACTGTAAGCCCACCCGTCACCCAACAATAAAGAGGGTCGACCTGTTTGGCTTTGATTAAATGTTTCCAAACTGCATTAGTGACATAAAAAAAAGATAAAACATGTTTATTTTCCTCTTRGCTTTTTTCAGTAATTACTGTAAACGCGCGTTCACGAGGAAATGAAACTTTCACAGCGTCATCTGTTGCTACCTGCCATGTTCCACCTGTTTCCATCCACCTGAGCCCTGTTTCAGACAGCAGGGTAAGGGCATACCCTGAGTGAGTTTTGGGGTAACTAGGTGCATACCCCGTGTTTTTGGTTTCAGAAAGCCACATTTATCCTGAGTTAAGTTACCCCTGAAAGTTAGTCCGTGATACTTAAACATATAGTCTGACTGTTTAGGTGACAGCTGTCATGAGGAAGTGTCAGACATGGCGTGTCCTTTTCTGGAGGAGCCTTTGGACAAAGGAGCTTTAATAATCCGCAGAAATCTACGTCGGGAGAGAGTAATCAGACCGAGATTAGATGTGTTCTCATTTCCAGACGATTATTTGTTTGAGAGCTACTGGTTTTCACGCTCCAAAGTTAGATGGACCTTCATCAGCTGATCCTCCTTCACAGTCCTTTTGAGTTAAAATTAACAGTCATCGTTTTACACAATAAAATTTGAATAAAATTTAAACCTACAGTTAAGCAACACATCCACCTGCACCTGGGTCTGCCCCCTCTCTGTGACAGCTGACAAAGTTTCTTCATCATCATCATTATTATCATCCTGTGATGAAATAAAATAAAATGGATTTACCGTACTGAAATGCACTTAAAAACTTTTCATAAATACAAAAAAAAAATAATGATAAAATAAAAAAATCCTTACAGCAGCAACAAAGATCTGCAACCCAGAATCCACCACTGATGAGACAAATGATGGGATATTTAATTTAGACTTTCATAATAATGTGCCACTTAAAACCAAACACGTTCCTTAGATCAGTGGTTCCCAAACTTTTTATCTTCTGACCCACAAACTACCCATGGCAAAAACTTGTGACCCCAAATATTACTGGTCTGAGTACACGAACGTTGTTAATAACCCTAAAAACAAACAGGCTTTTTTGACAATCTAAACAGCTTATACACAAATATAAATACTTATTTATACTGATTTTGTGGTTTTACAATAATTTAAAGGAAAATATTACATCAGCAATTATTTTATTACCCTTTAAATTGATTTCTGGAG